ATAGTCTTAGACAATTTTTAAAATATATTCGAAATCCTTAAACTATTTTTACAGTTGTTTTTCTTCAAAAAATCGACTGTTCTTGGGCTATAAATTGTCCGATTTCAATGACATTTAGCTCGTTGGAAAGGTAATTAAATTCCCCATCTTTTGAGACTTCAGGATTGATTATATCTCATCTGGTCCGTGTGCAGTTGAGAAAACACTCCAACTTTAAGCTGCATATCCACTTGGGACCCTCTACACTGTCTAAAAAAGTGATTCCCGATCAAATGCGGCTTAGTTTTGATCTTAGAACGGAGAGGTCCGTTACTTTAAACCACCCTGTAGTACAAGGAGGTGCCAGAGTCAAGTTACGCCACTCAACTTCCGTGAAATTCAATGAAATTTGGTGTCTCAAGTTACCCCGCACAGTTACCATTTTCTATAAAAGTCAGTATTACCCGATGAATGATGGGTTTCCCTCAAAACCAATGCTGCATTTAGCATGTTGAAATAATAGGGTTGAAAGGTACTACAGTCATTTGGGCCTCAGCAAGACGTGTTTCGAGTACCAAGGGAGACTTGTAACACTTCTCTAAAATTGTTAAATTTACTAAAATTGAAAAATCGTTATAGATCTGACCAGCTTGGTCCTAACCCACCCTTCACACGCTTAATCGTCTTTCCAAACAAGTATGAAAAAAAGTGCTAGGGCAGTTTTGACCTCCGAATGTGCCGAGCCAGGTAGCAGCTCCAAAAAGGTGGAAAAGCAGAAGTGTCTCAAGTTACCCCTGCTGTCTCAAGTTACCCCAGTTTACGGTAAGACTAATATTTGCGTTGCCAACATTAAACGTGTGGAAATAAGTCTTCAAGCGCCAAACGCTGTTGCAACTGACTTTCCAGCTTACGTCCGTCAACTGCATCCCCAACCTTCACTGTGGCGTAAGCAGCGGCGTCACTACACCTCTCGAGGGGGGCCTGACTCCACTGCACAGTGAGTCCAGTGTGAGGCAAGGCCTAAGCTATCACAGTGCTTAACTCCATCTCCGGATTCACCACCACAAGCCCATGGGTTCTTCGTGATTCTTCATCTATTAGCATTCCAGCTAGCCCGTGCTGTACGCGCTGGAATCGTCCTTGTGCTGGCCAATCTCCCCGCTAATGGTGTCGTGACCTTAGACCTGCCGGTGCCCGTAGCCGATCTGGGGGAACTGCTCGCACAAGCCAACAACCAAGAAATGGTACTTACATTCCCAGAAGATGTTTTAACTGAAATGGATGTCACTATTGTGCATATGTTGGCTGCGGGAGGTCAAGTGCTTGCCTTGCCAGCCGGTCAGGCTATTTCTGTGATTGATTCAAGTGTGGCCCGCGAGGGGTGAGTCACGAGTGTACTCATGTGTACAAATTTGCCCGTACTCAGTGTACTCACAAGTTTAAAAAGGGTAAAATTCACCAGTTTTTCGACCGATTTAGCGTTGAGTGCCTTTTAAAACGCTAAATAAAGCCTTCAAACGTTTATAAACGTGAAATTTATGAGTAAAGTAAGGTGTACTCACGCGTACTCATGTACTCATGTGTACACTAGGACGCGGAGTGATCCACCCCTCGGTGGCCCGCCCTCAATATATTGTTAATCGGCCATGTATCACACGGAAATGTGCCCAATATGGGCAATACCTTGCCAACTGCTGGTGGCGTGGTTGCCTTGGGGACTCGCATTGCCCAACACCACGGGGCTGCAGAGGCATTCCATTCCGGTGCGGTTGAGGCCGCTTCTATCGCCAGGGTGGCGATAGAGGCCCTGGGTGACCCAAAATCAGCTTCAGCCACCGCAAAATCTCCGCGCCGGAACCCAGGAACCGACGGCGTCGACCGAGGGGGTAAACACTTCAAGAAATCGTGCACAGACTACTCGGTATTACGCTGTATTACCCCAGAAAAAAAGATTTCGCGCCCGTTACGGGCACAGCCTGAGCAAATCTGGGCACAGCACGGGCTTGTACGGGCTCAGCACGGGCTCAGCACGGGCTCAGCACGGGCAGGTACGGGCGCATCATCCGAGCAGGGGGGGGGCAACAGCCTAGTGCGCGCGTGAAGCTATGCCCCGCCGCTCGGGCCGGCAAGGAGCGGCCGGGCGGCTGGGCCGCGCGGCCGAACCAAATTTAAAAAGAACTTTGTCAAAACTGCATCGAACTGAGTAAACGAGGTCATTTTTAGATTCTACGCAAAATTTCCTATCCGTGAGTGACAATGGAATGGACTTTTGGGTATGTGAAACAGTTCTAAAATCAATTTGAAAACCAAATTTACGGCACCAGACAGCCGACTTGAAGTTTCCCTTTTACTAAAAAAACTATTTCCGTTCGTTTTAGGTCCATACATACCCGCGAGCCGATTGTTGGCCACTATTTTCCGGGTTGCGTGGTACACTTGGGAAAGCCAATACGACTTCTGTAGCAGAAATGCCGATCCAAAAAATAATTTCCATTTTTTGGGCCAAATTTTATTTTGCAACTTTGGGGGTTAAAAGCACAGTTTGAAATAGGTTTCTCAGCATTGTCAACCTCACTAAGCAACCCAGAATTTAATTCTCTATCGCCCTGCTGTGTTGGATTTGCAAAAGGAGGTCAAACTTCTAATTTAAACGAAAGGCCCGAAGCGCTGCAAAACCCCCAAAAAAGTTCAAGTATTTTGTGGAGCTTAAAGTGTGAAAACTTTTTCTCAGATTGTAAAACCAACCACACCCCCTTGTAGGCCAGTCAAATTTTACAGCTCCATTGAAGTTTCATCGCAATCGGAGACCAAGAGTAAGGGGGGGTATATTTTTAATTGTAAAAAACCCCAGGTTTTTATTGCGGCCCCCCGCCCAATAAAAACTGATGGGATTTAAATTATTTACTGGTCTCCGATTGCGATGAAACTTACAATGGAGCTGTAGAAATTTACTGGCCTACAAAGGGGTGTGGTTGGATTTACAATCTGAGAAATAGTTTTTACACATTAAGCTCCACAAAATACTTGAACTGTTTTGGCGGTTTTGCAGCGCTTCGGGCCTTTTCGTTTAAAATTTGAAGTTTGACCTCCTTTTGCAAATCCAAACAGCAGGGCGATAGAGAATTGAAATTTTGGGTTGCTTAGTGAGGTTGACAATGCTGAGAAACCTATTTCAAAATGTGCTTTTAACCTCCAAAGTTGCAAAAAAAATTTTGGACCAAAATGGAAATTAGTTTTTTGGGTCGGCATTTTGCTACAGAAATGTATTGGCGTTCCAAGTGTACCAGCAACCCCGGAAAAAAGTGGCCAACAATCGGCTCGCTGTATATGGACCTAAAACGAACGGAATAGCTTTTTTTTTGAAAGGGAAACTTCAAGTCGGCTGTCTGGTGCCCCTAAATTTGGTTTTCAAATTGATTTTTGAACTGTTTACATACCCAAAAATCCATTCCATTGTCACTCACTTTTGCGGC